CTTCTTATTTTCTATTTCTTTTAGCCATTGGAATGAAAGTTTTCCAAGAATTTTACAAGTAGAAAACAACAGTAGATTTGAGAATCTCTAAGTATATTTTCTTGCTCAACTTAGAAAGACAAGTATTTATCAGATTTCACGTGAATCAATAGTAGCACAACTTCATTAATCATGTTGCTAATCAGAACGATCATATCTGATATCCTACAATCTTAAAAAATTTATTTTTGCAAGATCATTAGTAATAAAATGATAAAATATTAATTCCACGTGAAACGACATAACCCTGTATTATCTATTGATATATAAGTTTGATTTTAATTATTGTTAATATAAGAATTAGCATATTTTTCCTCTCTACAAATAGCCAGTGTCTTCATTCTGCTTACCAAATCTCATTCATAAAAAAGACTCGTATTGTGTAGGAATAGCCTTTTAATAGGAAAAGAGGGAGAGATGAAATTAACCGTCGCTCTATTGGGGATTTTCTGTCTTGCAGTAGTAAGTATAAACATTCTTCGGTCGAGTCTGAATTTTTCCAATGCATATAGCAATGAAATAAATAGAGCAGTATAAAACGTTTTACTATTTTTTATACTTTGTTATTTCATCGTTGTCTTCTTCCTTCCTAGTACATTTTCTTGATTTTCTCTTTGTTTTTGCAGCTGGCAACGACTATTGATGCACGAAAAGAACCAGAAGAGTACTGGCAAGGGGTTATGAAAGATCTGCCCATGCCCGAGGCAATTCAAGGTCTTCTCGATACAAATTCTGTTGAATATGTTCCGAGTATAAAGAGGGATTGCCACACCTCAACTGAGGCAAGTAAACAAGACAAGCCCTTTGTTCAAGACTTTGAACCTAGACCTAGTACCACAACCTATCGTGATGATAAGTTAAAAAATGAGATATCTTTTGCGAAAGACTTAGAACCAAGACCTAGTGCTACAGCCTATCGTGATGATAAGCTCAAAAATGAAAGATCTTTCACGAAAGACTTTGAACCAAGACCAAGTACAACAGCCTATCTCGATGATAAACTAAAAAATAAAAGATCTTTTGCAACAAAATTTGAGCCAAGACCTAGTGCCACAGCCTATCGCAATGATAAGCTAAAAAATGAGAAATATTTTACAAAAGACTTTGAGCCAAGGCCTAATGTCTCATCTTACAATAATGATGCTAAACCAAACGACGAGAAATCTTTTGTGAAAGACTTCGAAC